GGAACACTTATGAGCTTTCCTTTTCCCTCCAAGAATAAACTGTTACACAACACTCCACACCTTCCTCCAGCTCTTAGATTCTTTCTGTCTCCTTTTTAGTAATGATCTAAGCATTGGAGAGAGTGATAGAGATGCCTGACAATGACTAAGCGCTGGACTTCTGTGCTACAGCAACATTAGTTGCTCTCAGGATCTTCATCAATGGTTATGAATTTCTCAAATACATCCAGTCTACAAAAGGAAGTTTTTGTCCATTAATAATTATTTGGGTGGAAACACAAATGTTCATAAACAACTTGACACACATTGTATTCATTCAACAAAACAACAGAGGTTCCTTCTTGACTAGATCCTATAACCTCCCACCCACAGCCTTTTGTCCTGGCATAAGTGCCAGACAGGAGTTCCTCCTGTGGAATAGGCCTTAAATTCAGTTGGGAAGCCGAATGTTGCACTCATAGTAATCATTACATTATTGAATCTATAGGCACATCCTCCTGGCATTTTGGTAATATAGCATACTTTTTTTTCTAACTCCTTGATTGTTTCTGTAATTTTATTATAGCCCCAGTGGGGCTATATCACAGCTTTACTTAAGGTAGCAACTTTACACGGGTTCTATTTCTTCCAGCCTGTTTTTTGAAGTTACCATAGATTGAATGAGAAAACTGACTTGAACCGGGAAGTGGTGGTGCACTCCTTTAATTTCAGCACTTGGAAAGCAGAGGGAGGCAGATCTCTGTCAATTTGAGGCCAGCCTGGTCTCCAGAGTGAGTTCCAGGATAGCCAGAGCTGTTACAGAGAGATATTCTGTCTCAAAAAACAAACAAACAAATAATTGTGTGTGTGTGTGAGAGAGAGAGAGAGAGAGAGAGAGAGAGAGAGAGAGAGAGAGAGAGAGAGAGAGAGAGAGAGAGAGAGAGAGAATGAACCAAGGCTATTATCATTAGAGAAATACAAATCAGGTATTTGGGTATTTTTTAATTTCAGGATTATAAATGTTTTTAGACTTAAAAATTTTTCACACAGTGTATTTAGATTATGTTTGTCCTCAGCTTCTCCTAACTCCTCCCAAGTTGACCTCTACCTTCTTATCCCCACTCCCCAATTTTATGTGTTCCTTTTTCGTGTGTTCTTTTTGTTGTTGGGATTAAAGGCGTGCGCCACCACTGCCTGGCTTTGTTGTTATTTTGTTAAGAGTCTGTGACTCCAATTTGTGCTGCCCATAAATATACTCCCAGTTGTGGTGGCATTCACTGGAGCATGGTCAACCTACTAGGAGCCATATCCTTAAAGAAAACTGACTCTCCCCCAGAAGCCCCTAGCTATCTGTAGTTTTCACTTATGTGTTCAGGCTCAAGAACTCCTTCCCACACCATGCTACAGTGCTGACTAGCTTAATTTCGTGCAGATTTTGTGCACACAAGCAGAGCTGCTGAGTTCATGGGTACAGCAGTCCTGTCATATTGAGAAGATAGTTTTGCTCAGGTCTTCTTTAGCCTATGACTCTTAAAAACGTTTCTACTATTGCTTTTGAGAAGGTCCCCAAGTAATTGTTTCTGGCAGTTACTCAAACTATTTCCTGGATGATGTGATATTTTGGTTAAGTGCTCCAACATTTATGGAAAATATTGCCCTAGCAGCATAGAAATGACCTTCGTTTGAACCATTCACCAAATTGCTAAACAGTATTCTTTGTAAAATGAGTGTCTCTGGTACTCACATTTCTTGGGCTCAAATTAGGAGATTGCTTCCAGCACATAAGTTGACTGACCTTATCCCATCCTCTTTTTCTCTCCCAGGTAAGTGGAATTGAGAGTGTTTTGTTTCAGTTCATAAAGGCATTCTTTTTAAATATTTTTTTATTTAGAAGCAATCTTACTTTACCTATCAACCCCCCTTCCCTCTCCCTCCCATCCTCCCATGTCCCTCACCCCATCTCCCACCCACTCCCCAAGGATAGTGAGGCCTTCCATGGGGGATCATCAAAGTCTGTCACATCATTTGGGTGAGGGCCTAGGCCCTCCTCTTTGTGTGTGGGCTGAAATAGTATCCCTCCATAGGGAATGGGCTTCCAAAGTCCATTTGTGCACTAGGGATAAATACTGATTCCACTGTTAGAGGACCCAAAGGATGCCTGGCAACCACATTCAGAGGGCTTGTTTTGGTCCAATGATGGTTCCCCAGCTTTATGACTGGGGTCCATGTGCTCTCACTAGGTCAGGTCAGCTGTTTCTGTAGGTTTCTCCAGCATGGTCTTGACTGCTTTGTTCATCTTCCCTCCCTGTCAACAATTGGATTCCAGGAGTATGGCTCAGTGCTTAGCTTCTGCTTCCATCAGTTACTGGATGACAGCTCTAGGATGGCAATTAAGGTAGTCATCAATCTCATTATAGGGGAAGGGCATCAAAGGCAGCCCTGTCCACTACTGCCTAGATTCTTAGTTGGGGTCATCTTTGTGGATCTCTGAACATTTCCCTAGTGCCAGATTTCTCTTTAGAACTATACTGGCTCCCTCTATTAAGGTATCTGTTTTCTTGTTCTCCTCTATTCCTCCCCGATTCAGTCTTCCTGATCCCGCTTGTTCTCCTCCCCGCCCCTCTTCTCCCCTTCTCTTTTTCCTCCTTCCCTCCTCTCTCCCCCCATGCTCCTAAAATTGCTCAGGAGTTCTTGTCCCTTTCTCCTTCTTTGGGGGAAATATACAAAGGCATTCTTTATTTGAGTCCTCCAGAACTCCTGGTGGTACTCTGCCCTGAGGACAGGTCTGTGCTGTCCCTTCCCTACAGCTGTGGTCACCAGTGCTGATGCTTATCATGGTGTCATATACCTCAGTCACCAAGGAAGCTGTGGTGCTCAGGCCATGATAATGGTTAATGTAAAGTAACTTGTTTATCCCCCAAGGTAGTAGGTGCTGTGGATATTGAGAAGACTTTATTTTATCTGGAATATTGTTAGGACTTACTATAACAGTCCTCCAAAAATGAACAGTGTGTTTCATCCCTATGTTTTTATATGTATCGTAATGATAGAACCATGGGTATTTGTGTTCTAATACTACTTTGTACTTCCAAAATTGTTTTCTTTTCATGAACTCTCAGGACTTCTGTGTACTCTAACCACTGAATATTTGTTACTTTTTTCATTCTGGTAAGGTAGTTCCGCATGCCTAGTATGATGCACAGCAAATATTGTAGCTACAAGACCAGGAACCTTTGGCAGCTGACTACCTGGACGTGAGCTGGGTGGCCAGTACTCAATGAAGTAGCTGGTCATGAAGCCCCAGATAGTAACTTCTGTCAGCAAGACACAGGGCAGTTCTTCAGTGTTGAATATACAGCCCCCCCATACAAGCATACTTTTTTTTTTTTTTTTTTTTTTTTTTGGTTTTTACGAGACAGGGTTTCTCTGTATTGTTTTGGAGGCTGTCGGTCCAGCCTAGCCTCGAGCTCACAGGGATCCGCCTGCCTCTGCCTCCCGAGTGCTGGGATTAAAGGCGTGCGCCACCACCGCCCGGCTACAAGCATACGTTTTAAATAACTTTGAAAACATGTCTGAAAATACTCTTTTGGCTACTGTAGTCTCTACATATGCCACTTTCCCCTTTGCTTGTAAAAACCCTAATTTTCTAGCAACTGTTTGACTGCCTTATCCTAGAGAAATATCTAGACCAAAATGACTTTTTTTCAGTTCCCCATTGAAAAGCAACTGCTTTTCATTAAAGATGCATGTGCTGTTCCAGAGTCAGTGTGCTCATTTGTTAGTCAGTGCTTGTCTTAGACGTTTGTCTCGTGCCTCCATTTTTTTCTCACATCATGACCAGGAGCAGTTTGACATTTCACATGCCCATGTCCTTTCCAACTCTGTTTCCTTCCTATCCTTAAGTGAGGCAGGTGCAAATTGTGAGAAGCAGTCGTCATGACCAGTGCCCAGATGAGTAGGTGGTCCAGCTCAGTGTGCCAACCTGTTCTCCAGCTCTTAGTCAGGAGAATGGATAGGAAGCTTGAGACAAAGGAAACAAGCTCATGAGCAGAAGTGAGGGAGGAAGAAGCGGAAACGGAAATGAAACTTGGATTTTGGTCTTTGTGCTGTTGAGAGCCTGGTGACAACTGAGTGTTGTTTGGAAGTCTATTTGTTATTCCCACTTAACTAATTTTATAACTTAAAAATTAAACAGTAATAGAAAAGGATATAATATGTTCATTACTTGTAGCTAATAACACTAGTTTGTTAATCTTTGCCTTTGTGCCCTTGTTTGTATTTTATAGTAAGGATCTGTAATCCCCAGCTTTCCTGAGTCACAGCAGTCTTGGTGTCCCCTCAGAGACATCACCCACCGCCACTTTTCTGTGCCTTCTGTTGTGCTTCCACTTCCAGCTGTCTTCCATTTTGCTGTCTGTGTTAACCAGATTAGCTTTTAATTCAGGATTCTCTTGACCTAGTCTCCCACCTAGCTAGGATCACAGATGACATCTACCACACCCAACATGAAGACTCTGCAAAGATTTTGACTTTTATTGGGAATATTCTGTGTGTTCCACCCCACTACAACGATTTGATCGTATGAGGTGAACCATACACATGCTAGACAAATGTCCTATAACTGAGCTAACACTCCCAGTTCTTTGCACTTTTACATTGGTACAATATGTGTCCGTAACTATTATTGCATTGGTTTGCCTTAGTTTATCCTCTAATTTGCACTTACTGTGCAAGTGACATGATCTGTTTCATAGATGAGAAAATGGAGGAGTTAAAATCTATGTTATTTGGCCAATTCTATAAGAGAGACACTACTGGAATCCAGATCAAATTCTGCCCTTTTAATTTCATACCCCAGACACACAGCAGTCTATGAACTTCCCTGTATTAGTGTCCTTTTTTTGTCACTGGTACACAGTTTCTGACCAGAACAGGTGAGACAGGTATAATTACTTACAAAATATGTAGAATGCTTCTAATGTGTTTTTTCTCCCCCTTCATGTTCTGTCTTCAACTTCTAGGCATAAAATTTGGTGTATTAACTGTGAAAATTCTAGAGCTCCATGAGGAATGTACCATGCAAGTTGCACTATGTGAGCAATTAGCAGGACCACCAACCACCAGTCCTCCCAGAGAAACAGCTCCTAGACTAGGAACCTGCCTGAAGGTTCTCTTTACCAGAGAGACTGCAGACCACCTAAGGGGGCATCCCCAGGACATCATTTATATCTTCCCTCCTTGGTGAGTACAACGAACTGAGAACAACAGTCAGCTGTGCATCTGTTTCATAGTGGAAGACGTATTTACTAGGAAAATTTCTGTGACTTTATCAGAGAAATGCTAAGGGAGGAAAACCAGGGTGCGACATGGGTCTTATGTGACAGAAGTACTGAATTTTGTCCTTTTGGAACCAGGGATTTTATAATTTGAATTAGGGAGCAGAAAAAACAACCACTTGAGGATTTTTATCTAAAGTTGTATGATTTATGGTCTGGCTGTTTTTGTTTTTATTCTTCTTGGAAAAAGAGGTATAGTAAGAGATCTTATGTGACAGTAGGGTAATAGGTGTTGTTTTTCTTGGTAGTTATTTAAGAGGGAAATGAATGGATTAAAACAGCATAGTTTGAACTCTAGGAGCATAAATAATCATTATTGGACCAAAATTTACTAGCAGTTCTAATGTTTGCTTTCTTTTGCTTGGGAGATTAACTTTTACTATGAAAAAAAAACAACTTTATTGCTTTTGATGGATATTAATTATTAACTTTATTGGTAAAAAGTTTCATCTATGAAATTCTTAGATTATTGCATTTGGGATTGGCTACAGATGTTAAACATTAAGCTTACCTTCCACAGAAGTCTTTTAGAGCATCATGGCCAGTGATCGTTTCTGATCACTTGTGATCACTTGTGAAAGGGCCTCAGGCTACTTGTGGATAGGGCACCTGTCTTGTTTCCTTCTTTTTTTTTTTTTTTTTTGATTTATTTATTTATTATGTATACAGTGTTCTGTCTACATGTATCTCTGCATGCCAGAAGAGGGCACCAGCTCTCATTATAGATGGTTGTGAGCCACCATGTGGGTGCTTGGAATTGAACTCAGGGCCTCTGGAAGAGCAGCCAGTGCTCTTCACCCCTGAGCCATCTCTCCAGCCCTCTTGTTACCTTCTTATACCTTTCCTTGTAGATATTTTGTTTTTATTCTTTGAGTGTTTTTTGCTATCTAATTGGAGTGTAGACTTAAGGAGGGTTGGAGAGAGTCTTGTATTTGACCCAGAAATGACATGTAAAATCTAGCTATTTTTATATGCTGTTCCCTGCTGTAAGAAAGGATTTTTCTCTCAAGGAAAAGATTCCAGAATGCTGTGCTAACTGGGGCAAGTGGCAGCATATTTGAATGCTGTCATTAGGCATTTTAGCAAACCTACAGATGTGAAAATATGTGAAATAAAGGTAATGTCATGAATTTCCTCAGAGTCCCTTGGTGTGTCTTCCTTAAAATGGCCACCGCAAAAGAAAGCAGGGTTAGGGGTTGAGCTCAGTGCTGAAGCACCTGCCTGACATGCATAAGGCTTAATTTATTCCCCAGTACTGAAAAAGAGAGAGAGAAGGTGGGTTACAGGGAGGGAGATAGGGAAAGAGCAAGATATATATATATATATATATATATATATATATATATATATATATATATATATATATAATCAATTGATAGGACCTTCATTATGTTTCCTACTTTTGTTTAAAAGGCTTGCTTAACCTTTTGTCTTAATTTTTCTATTGGAATAAGACAGCATAAAAAATTTATCTGAGGCTTCTAGCTCAGAGGATTAGAGTTCATTGCCATCATGGCAGGTAGCATGACAGCAGGCAGGCAGGCATGGCACTGACAAAGTAACTTTGGGATCTCATGAGACAGACTCAGAATGGAAGGATCTTTTGAAACTTCAAAGCCCACCCCCACACCTTCTCCTAAGGCCATATCTCCTAACTCTTCCCAGTCAGTTCCACCAACTAGACCAAGAATTCAAATGTATGAGTTTTTGGAGTCCATTCTCCTTTAAGCCACCACACCCCTAAAATCCACACAGCCTAAGTAGCCATCAACATAGAGCAGCTTAAATGATAGTGGTATAGGATGTCTCCATTTCTAGAACAATGTCCCTATCACAAAGAACAGGTCAGTATTCAAGGTGCCCCAGGGAAGGAGAAGCCATAAATTTCATAGACAGGTGAGACAGTCCAGGTGTCCTGGGCTGTGCAAGCAGTACTATTACCTTGGTCATCCTCTCAATGCCTACTGATAAATTCATACAGCTGCTTAGTCTGCCTTAACAAAATGCTAACTCATCTTGTTAAACAAATAGAAATAAAAATAAAATAGAAATTTATTTTTCCCAATTATGGAAGATGATGGCCAAGGTCAAGGTACCAGCAAGATAGATTTCCTCTGAATCTTCTCTTCTTGGCTGTTGTAGCATCACCCACTTGGTGTCATCTTTCAGGATCTTTCCTGTTTGTGTTTACCCCTTGTGTCTATCCATACACAAACTTCTCATTGTCTTAGAACCTGTCAGATTCAGTTGAGCCCACCCTGCAACCTGACTTTGACTTAACTTCCTTTTAGTGCCCAGGGCCTGGGGCGTCAACACAGGAGCTTTGTAGGGACTTAGTTCAGCCCTTATACCTACTGTGAGAGTGAACATGTTTTCTGTTGAGTAGTTTAATTCTGTGGCCAGGTAAACCAACTGATTTTTCTGTCTCTACATGGCCCAAAGGATCTTAAAAAGCAGTGTCGTGAGGAGCTTCTTAAACTGTATTATATATTATTATAGAGAGACTAAGAATTTTTAAAACCATTTGCATATGTTATCTGTGAATGTTTGGGTACTGTCTGTGCATGAATGCAGTTTCCCTCAGAAGCCAGAAGAGGGAATCTGATTCCTGAGAGCTGGAGTCATAGGCAATTGTGAGCCTCCCTGCCTGGGTGCTGGGAATCCAACTTGGGTCATCTGTAAGAGCAGTAGGAAGTCTTAACTTCTTGAGTCATCTTTCCAGCCTCTGAAATTGTAATGGTCTCCCTCTGTTGCAAAGAGAAACTTCCTTGATGAGGAGTGAAGGCTACACTTACCTGTGGGTATAAGGACAAATGTTTATAGATTATTGTTAGGTACTATGCTAGTTTGATGAATTAGTGGTTGTGGGTTCTCCTTCAATAACCATGACTCCACTAGCTAGGTTTCTACTACCAGGCATGGTCTTCTAGTTATGCAGGTCTTTAGTCCAATTAGAGAGCAATTAGATAGTGCCAAGGTAAATATAGAAGAATGGAAGGGGACAAGTGATCTGATAGGGAAACAGGAAAGGAAGCCTCCTTAGGAAGGGAGAGGGGGAATAAATACAGGAGAAAAAGGGAGGGAGGCCAAATAACAAGATGAATGGCTGAAAAATTCACAAGGAATCATACTATTAACTATATACCTAAAATGCTACAACACGTAACTTAGGTAGAAATATACTATTGCACCCATAGGATTATAATGCCATCCTGGTTCATTAGCTTCATTGCTAGATAGGACTGTAGGTTGCATCCCTCCTTTGGAAGCTTGCATGCTGCCTTTCTGGTACCATGAAAGCTAGTCTGCAGGGAGGAGGCTTTCAGGTCAGTTCCATCTTAGGGAGCTCTGAGTTCTGTTTCTCAAGTGCATGATGTCTTCAGTAATAGGGTATTTTATTTGCAGAAGTGAGGCCTTGATATTTAAAGTTATTATTGAAGTGTGTGTTGTATTGTAGTCATCATGTTACTGAATTTTTGTGTTGTTTGTGTCCTCACTGTTTTTTTTTTTTCCCAGACAGGGTTTCTTTGTATTGTTTTGGAGGCTGCCCTGGAACTCACTCTGTAGACCAGGCTGGCCTTGAACTCATAGAAATCCGCCTGCCTCTGCCTCCTGAGTGCTAGGATTAAAGGCGTGTGCCACCAACACACAGGGTATTTGGGATTTTAATGGTTATGATTCATATTTCTTTCTATAATCTCTCTGTTCTGTTCATCTATCCTGTCAGCACAAAATAAAGCTTCCTGTGCTTTTCTTTAGATTCAGTTTTTTTTTTTTTTGGCTATAATTTTTTTAGGCTTTTTATGTCATGGAAAAACTTTGTTCCTCTTTCAATTAAAGCAGATAGGTTTTCTGGATAGTATTAGTAGGTAGTTAGATTGATATTAGTATAGTTAGTATTTTGGTATTAGTATAGGATGGCCGTCATAGTCTTTTAGGACTTGAAATGTATTGCTCCAGGCTGTTCTGGCTTCTAAAGTTTCCTTTGAGAAATCAACAGTTATTCTGATGGGTTTTCTTTTATATGTCACTTGTGGTTTTTTGTTTGTTTGTTTTTTCTCTTTTGTATTTTGTTGTATAGCTAGTGTTTTGAATATGATATGCTGTAGGGATTTTCTTTTCTGGTCTTGTCTATTTGTCTGTGATTCTTATCTGTATGGGTGAGTCTTTAGTTTGGTACAGTTTTCTTCTGTGACCTTGTCGGAGTTCTGCTCTATGCCATTGACTATCTTCTTTCTCACCAATTCCTTTATTTAGAAGATTTGGATTTCTCATGGTGTGCTACATGTCCTTTGTGTTCCTTTTCCATGGCTTAATTTTTTAAATGTTCCTTTCTTTTTTGGTCTAAATTACCTATTTTTATCTTTGAGACCTCTTATTATGTCTTCTGCTTGATTCATTTCTTCTCGTAAAGCTTTCTTTTGAATTTTGTAGTTGGACCATTGGGCTTTTCAATTCCAACTTCATTTCAGCTTGAGTCCTCTCTACTGTTTATTTGTCTATTCAGTTTTCTTTTCAAGTCCTGGATTCTGTGTCATTTCCATCAGCCTTATGTTTGTATTTTCTTTTTCAGAAGTTTACTCTCATTATTCTCCTTTTCCTTGAATTTCTGGAGCTGTTTCTTTGTGTCTTTTTTTAAGCCTGCTTTCTTTGAGGTGGTTTATGATGATTATTTTGATTTCGATACACTGGAGTTGATCTGCATAATTCTCATTGGGTAAGCATTCTGTAGGACCGGTAGGTTTAGAGAGAAGATAGTGTCTTGTTCATTAATATTGTTGGTATTCCTGCAGCGAGATCCATGCACAAGGACGTTGTTAGTTCTGAGTATGTTATGGATGAAGCAGGGTCAAGGAGACGGGGAGATGTTCGGGAAGGTTTAGTCTAGAGGTTGGACATGGCTTG